GCCTTCTTTCTCTCCCTTTCTTCTGTGACTTCACTTGTCAGGTACATCTGCCATCTTACTTAGCTTTGTTAGTGGCAAGAAGGATGAAAACTCCCTCACATCACAGATACTGTACAATGCTACCAGAGAAAAAGAAAGTCAATTATTCTTACAGGTATACGACTTCCTAGAGATTACTTCAAGATAAGTACAAGTGACAAAAACATGTAAATATAAATACCATCAACTATCTCCATATGTATAAAAAAGAGCACCAAGAGACAGCCCCACAGGGAGGAGGGAAAACAATACAAATGTGAAGAGAATGATGAGGTAGCTGATGTCGGGTGGTGATGCTGTGCAAAATCTTCACGACCGGAGTCAAAAGACTGCAGAATTACTATGTGGTTTGGGAAGGTAGCAGGATACTAAAGATGGAGGCACTGGTAGGGGGCATGGTTTATGAAGGCATTTCACATCAAGCATGAATTTCTTGTTCCCCTATTTTTACCTCCATCTTGCTCTCATCATCATAGTCAATCTCACATGCAAGTGATAGATTCAATAGGAAAGATACTCTGACGTTATGAAACATTATACATCATATCCCTAGGAAGTCCCTCTTTTTACATATTTTCACATCTCTCAGTTCTGTAAGGCAGAATCATGCAACCTTGATTTCGCCTGCAAAATATCAACAGATTCCTGACAGTTATAATTAGAAACAGAATATGAGTCAAGGGTTCACGGTAATTGATTTCTGTGCCAGAAAAGTGGATCACACACTGAGAAGTAGGTCTACCTGGAATCATTTGGAAAGGACTTAACATTTTGCCTCTAAAACTGGCAGATTTGTTCAAAATTTCACTGTTTATTTATTCAAAATTTCCCTTTGCCACTTTTTTTTTTTTTTGCAGTTTGTGGATGGTGGTGGGAATAACCCCTTTAGGCTAGGAACCAGGATTCTAGGATGCTCCCTACCTTACTGATTTTGTGATATTCTGCAGAGTTGTTCTGAATATCTAGTGAAGCAAAGTAAATAAAACTATCCCTAAATTGTAAAGGCTTAAATAAATAAAAGTTCTTACACTATTATTACTACAGATTCCATAACTTCCTATGTTGGTGGAACTTCGGAGAAGGCTGTTAGACATGGTTATTTTTAGAAACTTTTTGAAGCATCCAGATCTTCTCTATTATCTGGTTACTGTTTACAACAACCATTCGGGGGTAAGCCAGCAGTTTTCACAAGAAACTAACTCAGAAAAGTGTTAGAAAATAACCAAAGGACACATCCAGGTTTTATCTGACCTAAAGCTTAGAGTTTAGAGAACTTTTTTAGAAAAATAATATAAGGACTTACCCGCTCCACCCACACAGAGAAGCAATGCTGAGGTGCTAGTTTAGTATGGCTAAGAGTGAGGAAAGAAGTAGGAGGGGGAACTTCTAGGGAGATGGTTCTCTGTGGTTGGCACAGTGTAGTCCCAAACAGCAGCAGCAGCATCTGGGAACTTGTTAGAAATATGAATTCTCAGGTCCCACCCTAGAGCTCCTGAATCAGAAACTGTTTTAACAAGCCCTCCAGGTGATTTTGATGCACAATAAACTTTGAAACCACTGACTTAGGGGAAAAAAAAGAACACAAAATCACAAATGCATAATTTCGTAAAAAATGAACATACACTTAGAACGAAGAAAGAAATCACAATAAATCACAATTTTTAAAAGGCTGACACATACATCAAACATACAAATTCCAGGAAAATAATAAAAATTTAATCAATGCCTGACACACAATCTAAAGACTTCTTCCTAAAGTTTTTGACTCAGACGCTTTTATTACCTTTTCATGTAACCACAATTTTGTGACACCGTTTTCCACAGAGAAAGCATAATGACTATTCACTCTTTTCTCTAGAGTAGCTAATTGAAATACAGTTTTCATTATTGATAATTGAAATGTATAAAACATGGTTCTGCACACTTAGATGTACTATTTTTGCTACTTCAGGTTTGTGCTTTCATACTAGGAATTCTAATAAACTCCATGATCTCTTTAAAATATTATATGTGTAGTAGTACCTTTGTAATTGTGTGTATTCATTATTGAGAACATTTCTGACGGGAGGGAACTTCTGCTTTGACCTGATGTCAGTAAGAATTGCGTCTTCTGCTTACAATTTCACACATCAGCATTTTGGAGAAATTGACCACAGATAACTTCCAGCTCTGTACATTTCCACCCTTGTTTCTCCTTGTCTTCCCTCATATGTCTTGTGATGGGTTCTGTGGGACCTGATCACATCGAGATATGACCTTCCCCTTGCACATTTCTGACATGACATCAAGTAAGTTGGCACAGTGGGAAACTTCTAGAAGCAAGTCCTACTTTGAGTCATGGGTGTGACTGGATACCTCATAAATGTATCTCTTACACTACAAACAACAAAAATATATCTACTCAAATGAAATGTATTCCTGACTCTACTTCCCTCACCTAGATCCCCAAAATTCCCACACAAACACTGTCATACTGAAGGGATAGAGTTAGGATCCTCGTGGAAGGAGACAGCATTCTTGACAGAGAGTACTCAAAATGCCATTTTTTGCAAATATTTTAAAACCGTATGCCATATGAATGCTCTGCTCAGGCCATCTCTGGTCCTTGGAAGCAGCCCAAGCAATACAGGCTCCTAAGTTTAAGCTCAATTAGCTTCCTGCTAAGTCTGCTTCTGAATCAATGATACATGAAACCAAGAAACAAATATTGACTTTATTGGCTTTTCCAAGTGTATCACAGGAGAAGAATGTCAAGTGTAGATTAGTGATAGTCAAATTATACTTCATCAAGCTTGATCAAGGATTAGGGTATAAGGTCAGGCAGATTCAACAAAAAGAAGTTTTAACCAGGTAAATAGGATGACAGAGTCAAAATTCTTATGGAGATACAGGGAGTATCACACACAGGAGATAGGAGTCAGAAGACAAGGATCAGAGTTCAGGATCACTAAGTGAAACTACAGAGGCAGCTCTACCTAGGGATGCCTTCTCCACTGAACCCTGGTTTTCTGCCAACACCTGGACACAGCTAAAGACATTCAATATAAAAATCTGTCCACTCCAGAAATATAAAAGGGAAGACACATTGGTGTTACAGTGGTAAAACAATGACATCAATCTCTAGTCACTCTGATTTGGTTGATACTCCAGTGGCTTTACGAGGAGTTTCTTTCAAATGAGTTACTCCATGAATAAGTCACCCAGCTGAGGAGGTTCTATGTCATTAGTGCCTGAGTGAGGCTGCTGGTAATAGTACTGACTTATGTTAAAATTTTCTAAATATTTTCTTTTAGGACTATCAGGCTTTTTAGAGCTTGGGAATTTAGTCACTTGGGAGGGAGGAAATGTCAGAGAGAATCATTTATTACCAGAAAATAAACAATCTCCCCTAACCACACCCCCCAAAAAGCATGTCACATTTCCAGAAAAACATCACTGCACTCCTTGAATTTCACATCAGCTCTTGGAAGGGAATACCAGAGTGACCATTAGATTAGAAGCTTAACACTTAACGTAGGTAGTCTAACTGCTGTTCTAGAAATTCCTAGAAATGTCTCTTTCCTGGGAAAACTACAAAAATTCACAAGTCTCAGGTAGGAGTCAGACAGCATCCTGAACTATATCTTCCAAAACGATGTTGCCCAAAGGGTGATCACAGTCTGCCTGTATTGGAATTCCTAAGGGTGCTTGTTTAAAATGCAGAATCACCAGCTCACAAAGAGACTTAAGGAAATGGAAACTCTGCATGTGTTTCCCACAAATATGCGTGGCCGACAAGCACCCTAGTGAATTCTTATAACCATTTTACGAACTCCTGAAAGTGGTAGAAGTTGCCATCAAGAAATGGGGATGGATTTAATGGGGGGGTCCTTAGCCACCATCAAGACAATTCAAAGAACTCCCTCAAGTCACAAGGCCAGAGTCTCAGAGAATCTCAAAGTGAGGACTCTTGTACATTTGAATTCTCGCATCCCTCCTTCCTGAGCTATTCCTGCTGAAGATGAATGCCTTCCTCATTAGAACACCAATTTAACTTTGCTGTTTCCCATTACTGCTCCTTGGCCTTTCGTTTTTGATGATTTTTTTCCGATGTAACTTCATTTTGGGTGTTCAATGGCCCTCCTGATCTTTCTGGACTCACAGGATTGAATGGAATCTCAAATCCAACCAATGCTTTAATTCTTTCTGTGATATTCCTTAAATGTTACCATGTGATTTGAGCTTGATTGACAATGGAAAAGAAACTCTGGGGCCACCTATTCCATTTTTAGACACTGCTAATCATCATAACCATCACGCTTATCAGGAATCAAACTATGTCTGTCTATAATTAGCACCATGGGTCACAGGTCTGCCTTCCTGCCTTCCAGAAATACACTTCTGGCAATTGAGTTTCTCTTCCACATGACAGCTTTGGCTCCATGCTAACTGATGTGTATTTAGCTTTGAATGTTTTGTATTGTATCCAGGATCAAGGTATTCTGTGAATGTGAAGTGGGAATTTACAGTCTCAATTGCCATTCCTGTGATAATATCTTCATAGCTACACTCTCATTAGATAAAAATGCCACAACTGTCCTCAGAAGAATAATCTGTTTCTAGAATAAATGAGTCAAAAGCGTGGGGCAACTTTTTCTGTTCTTTTCAGTAGTGGTTCTCAAACCAGGGCAATCTTCTTCCCCACCCCCTACCCTGACTACAGGGAACATTTGGCAATGTCTAGAGACGTTGATAGTTGTCACACTTGGGATAGCGGTGCTACTGCCATTTAGTGGACAGATGCCAAAGATAGCACGAAACATCCTACAATGCTCAGAACAGCTCCCGACTCTCCCCACAATCCTCACAACAAAGGATTATCCAGACTGAAATGTCAAGTGTTGAGATTCAGAAACCTTTGTGAGAGAAATCTCAAAGAAGTCAACATAGAAAAATATATATAGTGATTCCTTGCTACTCACTCTTTCCGGAGATTCCTCTCAAAACAGCCGAAATTCTCACATTTCATGTCACCTTTCACCTGGAAAATTGTTAATATATTTTTACAAGTTAGGATCATCACTGACAATATTATCAGTCACTTAGAAATTTATCTTAGCAGAAAAGGAGAAATGCTGGCTATTTGGACATATTTTATTGTATGTTTTGCCTACACATAGTCTCTAATGAGCCTGAGAGAATCAATAAACTTCAATTTCTAAAATAAAACAAATGCCAGCTCAGGAGAGCCTGGCACTGAGGTAAGATATTCACAATCAGCCTTCTATCTTTAACTCTACTCCAATAAAATAAACATTAATATAAATACATATTATATATAAATATAAATACATATTCAAATTACGTATTAAGAAAAGGTGCAGCCAAATATGTATACAACTGAATCACTATGCTGTACATCAGAAACTAACACAATATTGTAAATCAGCTCTATTTCAATTAAAACAAGAAAAGGTGAAGCCAAAAGTAATTTTTAAACATTATTCATTTGCATTTTATAATCCTTTATGAGGTACTTAATGTGTGCCAGGCACTGGGTCAGATGCTAATATATAGATAGGGAAAACATGATCCCTAACTCTCACAAAAGTCTGCGGAGGAAGACAGAGAAGTAAACTGTTTTCTCAGAGCTGATGACCTTCCTTCCTGTTTCATCAATCAATCAATCAATCAATCAATCAGAAGAGCTCTTCTTCATCCTCTCCACCAGATGTGCCAATTCACAAGCATCCGTAACCCTGCATGCACTGCCTCCACACTGATTCAATGTATCCTCTGTCCATGTTCTATATGGGCCAACTTCTCTCACACACTGGGTCCCAGCTCTTCCTAATCAAGGACTTTTCTCATGGAATTATCTCCTCTCTCTTTTCCCTCATTACATCATCACTTCCTCCTCTTCTCTGTATCTTTGATATCATAAAAGCATGCTATAATATCGATCACAGCTAGACCCAGTCTCATCTCTCTACCCTCACCCCTTTCCATTTCACTCTCTTAGCTCAAACTCTCAGCATCATTTGATAAAGTTCACCACTCTCTCTTCCTCCTCTTCTAAATCTTTTTTATTTTTAACTTGGAATTCAGTATACCATATTCTCCTGATTTTTTTCTTACTCATGTGGTTGCTACCTCTCAGTCTTCTCTGCTGGAGCCTCTCCATCTCCCCAACCTTGAAATGCTATCATGTCCCTTACTCTTACATGATTTCATCCATCCCAGTGGCCTTCAACACATTCTATATGCTGATGACTCCCAGATTTCTATCTCCAGAATGAACCTCTCCTCGGAATCTTCATATTTTATTCTGATGTCTAATGGGCATTTCCATCCTAGTAAATCCATAACTGAGCTCTTAATTCATTCCCCTGCCCCTTGCCAAACATGCTCTTTCCCTAGAGAGTCTTATCACAGCAGTTATTGCTGTAAAGCATCTCAAGTTAAAAAACCTTGATGTCACCATTGGTTCTTCCCTGTTTCTTATAAGTTTTCTTCCAATCCATCAAATGAATTCTGATAGAAATACATTTAAATAATATCCTGCCCCAACCTAATCCAAGTCATCTCCATCTGCCTCCTGGACTCATCACTTGAAGCCCCAAGAATTCTTGGTTTTTTTCTGGTAAATCAACAGCCAGTTCTCCCCACAGTAACCAGAGAAAGTATTTTAAAATGGAAATTATGTCATGCCACCAAGCTCCTGGACACCCTGATGTAGTTTTCTGACACACAGAATAAAATCCTAAATCTCTACTGTGGCCTATTAGATCCTACCTTACCTGGTTTCAGATAAATTCTCACTCCCATTTCCTACCATTTTTCTGCTTGCTCATGACACTTTGTTGGCCTCTTTGCAAGTCTCCAACACTCTCCTACCTTAGAATCTTTATATTTACTGGAACTACTTCTTGAAACAATCTTCCCCCAGGTAATCACATGGCTCATCCCCTCCCTACATAAATGCCCTGCCCGAGTATGGCTTCCTAAAAAACAACCCTCTCTAATAGTAACAACTCTTCTCTAGCCCCGTATCTTGCTATAATTTTCTTTTTAGCATTTATCACTACCTTATTTTATATTCTAATTTACTTATTTGTGTATTTCCTGTTTATTCCACTATTTCCTGTTTATTCCACTAAAACAAAGGATTTTTGTTTTATTCTCAGATCTATTCCCAGGTCAAGAACTGTGCTTGGAGTATTATAGGCACTCAAATATTTACTTGACTACAGAATGAACTAGTCTCCATATTCAGGCAGGTATCACCTAGAAATGCAATCTTAACTTTTGTAAACTTTACTCATTTCACTTAGTTACCAATCTTATACTTTGGAAGCAGTATACTATTCCTATGTTGTTTATAGTTTACTGAAAACAAGCATTCATTTGTAATACCTGGTGTAATATTTGGTCACATTTAACCTGATGTAGGATCAAACATATGACACAATGAATACAATACCACAGCACATCAATTAAGTACAAATAAATGATTAAAATAACAACCAGTATATCACATTATTAAAAATGATCTAATATAATTTGTAATGTTTTAAGTAATAAGCAAAAACATATTTACAAGAGTTTTTATTTTTTTGGTTGAAATAGAATGACTCCAAGATGTCATCTTAGAGAAGGGAGCAAGTTGAACTCTTCAAAGAGAATTGCAGTATATCTAATGACTTTAAACAACTTTTGACACAAGAAGCATCATCTCTGTCTTTTCTGAATTAGGTTTTGATGTGTTCCCTGACATCTAGAATTTGAAGTTCAACAAGTTGACAACACTGGAACTTCACTTTCTCAAATAGCAAATGGAAACATATGTTTGAAAATTATGCTAATAACTGTGCAACCTAAAAAAAAATCTGACTAATGTTGGTGACTTGTAAGATGTGGAGATAAATAGACTGATGTCCCCACTGCTCCCAGGCAGACTTTAATTGTCAAACTTCCAGAATCACTAAAACTAAGGAGTGAAAAGTTGCTTGCCTCAATCTTTCTCAGAACAAAGACTCTGACACTTCTTATTTAGTATTAGAAAGGTAATTAAATATACTTAATACAGTATTGAAGCACTGGATTGACACAGAAGAGGAACTGGCTTCTAGTCTTTGCTCACCCACCGAGTAGTTGTATAGCCTTGAGCCTCAATTTCTTCATTCTCATTAATTAATAACAGGGGAAAGTGGGACAAAATAATTCTACTTTGTGTCTTCTACTTGGGACCAATTTGCAATATAAATCACAAAGCCACTTAATAGCTGTTGAACAGCTGAGATTTTAACTTGTATCAGTAAGGACAGGTAAGGTTATGCTGGCATAACAAACAACCTGCAAGTCACAGTGGGTTAAAACAATGAAAGTCTATTTCTGATTCATACTACATGTCAGCAGGCATGATGCACTCTTGATGATCATTCAGAGATCCAGTTAACTGAATCACCATCTTGACATGTTTCCACAGTCACTGAGGGAGGAAGAAGGGAATGTGATACTTAAAGCTTCTGACTAGAAGTAGCACACATCACTTCTCCTGACATTTCATTGGTCAAAGTCACATGGATGCACTTGGCTTCAAATGGAGTGGAGAAGATAAAGCAGAATATTTTGGGGTAGCTCTAATAACTATAGGAACCAATCTGAGTAAAGAGACTACAGTGTTTATTTGTCTGGTGGAGGCTAGATTCTTAGTAGTCCCTGGTGTACATCAGACCAGCAGTGCCTGTTTCTCTAGAAAATATGTGGATGGAAAAGAGAGGAAAAAAGATATAAACAAACAGATTATATTGAATGTAAGAACATTTTTGTGTCTTCTACAACAACACATGATAATAAATTATATTTGTGACATAAAAATATATGTATTGTACATGATCCTATAACTTAATTTTAATTGAGTAGATTTATTGTCATGGCATTTAAACTGATAATCATGTCATGTGCAAAATAATTATTTTTTAATTTGGCTATCATAGATAACAACCAATAATAGAAACAAAAAGTAAAAACAGCAAAATAATAATAGTATTTTATTTATGTTTTAGCTAAAAAATAAATGATAGTACTTTGTATACAACATTCAAAAGCACAAAAATGTCTACAGTGAAGAGCACATCATTCCCATCTTTTCTCCAAGTCATCCAGTTCTTACTCCACAAAAACATCCATTTAATTTTTTTATTTTATCAAGGTAATTATAGTTTGTAACATTATACATTTAACGTGTACAACATTTTATTTCAACTTCTGTATATACTACTGCATGCTCACCACAAAAAGTTTAGTTTCCATCCACCACCATACAGTTGACCCTTTTACCCATTTTTCCCTCTCACCATCCCTCTTCCCCTCTGGTAAACACTACTCTTTTCCATGTATCTACATGTTTGTTTTTGTTTGGTTTGTTCATTTTGTAAATTTTTTATATTCCATATGAGTGAAATCATATGGGATTTGTCTTTCTCCATGTGACTTATTTCACTTAGCATAATACCCTCAAGTTTCAATCATATTGTTGCAAATGGCAAGACTTCATCTTTTTTATTGCTGAGTAGTATCCATCCTATATATACCACATCTTCTTTATCCATTCATCCATCAATTGGTACTTAGGTTGTTTACATATCCTGGCTATTTTAAATAATGCTGCAATGAAAATACTCTTTTCAAATTAATGTTTTTGCATTCTTCAAATACCCAGAAGTGAAATAGCTGGATCCTATAGTACTTTTACTCTTAATTTTCAAAGAATTTCCATACTGTTTGCCATAAAGGGTGCACAACTTTAGATTCCCATCAACAGTTTACAAGGGTACTCTTTTCCACATCCTCTCCAACATTTGCTATTTCCTGCTTTTTGGATAACAGCCATTCTAATGAGCATAAGGTAATATCTTATTGCAGTCTTGATTTGCATTTCCTAGATTATTAATGATTTTGACCATCTTTGTATATGCCCGTTGGCCATCTGTATGTCTTCTTTGGAAAAATGTCTATTCAGATTCCCTGTCCATTTTTAA